CTGCAGGCTGCACTGCTCGCATACAACAGGGCCAACACACACATTGAAGACCTCACCCTATCCGCTGTCAAGTTCGTCAAGACGCTTTCCGGCACTAAGAGGCCGCATTTGCCGTCAAGACGAAGCAGCGGAAATCTGCTACGTGTAAACACCAATCAGTCGGAGCCAGATCCGGAGGCACAGAGCGACGCGCCGAGCAGTGAGGAGAACGAACTTGTCAATCGCCTACTCCAGTCATTCCTCACGCATATTCTCGAGGATTACGTCTTGTCGTTGACATCAGACGACGATGTTCCAGGTCTCGCGTGGGCCAGCAGACTGATGGAGCGGTACGAGCCCCGGCGGATACCGAACAAGCCCAACTACAAGAAATATGCGGATAGGTTCGCAGAAGAAGAGGATCTGACCTCTAGGGTTGCGATTCTTGGACAGATTGTAGCCTTGACTCAGGATCTTGGGTTGAAGTACAAGGAGCTGCTGCGGACTGTGATGGATACGGAGGATGAGAAGCGAGGTATCCCAGGAACAGAAGATGAGCCCCCAGCCACGGCTGCCGATATACCGCTCTCACGAACAGGCGCTCTTCTGCTTATCGCTGCGCGAAATGTCAAACAGGAACTGTATGCTTCAGCCAAGCAAGACGAGTCATCGTCAATTGCCATTTTCCCAGGACACGCCACGATACTCAGCAACTTCATCGGAACTCTCGGGCAGCAGACCGTTGGTATGGAGCCCGAAGCACTGCTCGACACAGTTCTTACATTTGGCCTCATCGCACTCGAAAAGAACAACATCGGCGAGCCCAAAGACGACGAATCATTTGCCCAATACCTCCAAACAATCTCGCTCATTTCCGCAAACTCGCCGTCGCCAAGCTTGCGCGGGCATGCGCATTACCTCACCACAACGGTTTTGCGCTCACATCCCCACGATCTCGTCCGCCTAACCTTCATCCGCGACACGCTAGAACACTGCCCATACGAGAACCTCAAAGCAAGCGCGGTATCGTGGCTCAAAGGCGAGACCCTCGAAGCCAACGCCCCGCGTCCCCAATCAGCAGACGACGAGCACGAAGAAACCAACATCTTCGCCACGCCAGTCGCTCTATCTACCGTTGCACCCTTCCTATGGCCAGATCTCACCAAGCAATATGCCACCGATGCCGTCCTAGAAGAGTCATGGATGCAATTTCGCCAAGAACTTGGTTTCTACGTTGCAGCACTCAATTTCTACTATCTACTACTGCAGGCGAAGCATCTACATGAGACACTTGGTATCAAGGAGTTGAACAGCAATCATAGCATCCAGTCACAGTATCTAGACGTGCTGAAGCAGACTGCTGTGCGGTTCCAGAAGGAGCTGTCATCGGGTGGTGGCGCACTTGTTGTTGAGGGTGAAGAGGCGCTGGAGCAGGCCAAGGCTGATGTTGGGTTACTGGAGAAAGTCATCGAGTGGGTTGAGGGCGGGTTGAAGAAATTGTAGATAGGGTGACCATATGTGTCAGGGATGATGTGCTTCAGACGGTATTTGCATGGAATACAATCACATTTGCAGTACGACCCTCAATATATTCACGACGAAATTGAATTGTTCAGAACATGCCCCCGTTCATACCCCCAAATCCCGCACCACCACCATACGATCCCCCCTGTGGAACCCATCCCCCGAAATTGTCCGCCGTCATATCATTCCACAGATATAAATCTCCGTTTTGAAACGCCGCGGAGAAGTCGCCCATATCCGTGGTAAATGCCGTTTGATCGCTGATCGGCTGCGGGTCAATGGCCATGTCATTCGCATTCCATGGTGTGGGTGTGGGATACGCGTTACCCAGTGCGAATGAAGATGTCGGCAGAGAAGGAGGAGCGGGCTGATGTTGTTGCTGCTGCTGTGCTGCAACCTGACTTGAATCGATAGCAGACTCTGACGCTGAAGTGTTCGCGACCTGCACATTCTGCTCCGCGAACGCAGGAGTCTGATTCCCGGTTGCGGTCTTCATCTCATCTCCACCCCCCATCTTCTTCCTCCTCTTAAGATGCCTCCCCTCCTTCCTCCAAATCTGATATTCATCCCACCAACTCTTCAACTTCTCATGCAGCAAGAAATTCCAATGGCTTGGCACCCTGACTCTACACTCCTGCGGCCCACCAGCCTCATTCGTCTTATCCAGCACAGTGTCAAGATAATAACTCACTTTAAGGCTCTGGCTTTCGAGCAGCTCGCCCATTTCCGCGTCGGTACCTACCGCGTATTCTGCTTTCATTAGGGTAACGAGAGAGTACACGGCGCGGACGTAGAGGGCGTTTGGCGATTTGCGCAGTTTGTCGCAGGGGACGGCGATGAAGAAGTCGAGGATGGTGTGGGCGGCCGAGATGCATTTTGTGGTTGCGTTGATTTGGAGGGCGGAGCGCGAGAGGAGGGATTCGGGTTGCACGCAGTCGTCGTCGAGGGCGGGGAGAGTGATGTGGCGGTTGCGGAATTCGATGACTGGGTTGTGTTAGTTGGGGTGGATGCGACTTTTACTTGAGGACTTGCCGTCGTAGCGACCCCCATCCATGCCAAACTCCCACATGGATAACATGTCGGAGTAGTACTCTATCTGTAAGTTCAGCGTCATAACGTCGTCTGGAATCCCTTTCCTCCAGTCTTGCATTCGCCGGTCGAAGATTCGTAGTATAATTTGCATGCGCAACTCTGAGAGACTGAAGCTTGTGCTAGCATCGTCGAAGCCAAAGGCCGTATTTGCTTCGTCGGCTATCCTCTGAAGCTTCAACCACGCCACTATCCTCTTATCGTCCAAGAGCTTCGACTTTTCCAGTATGTTGAAGCACTCTTCCATCCAACTGTTGAACAGCAGTATGTTCGGGCGTTTCAGTCTCATAGAGAAGCCTGCGCTGATGATGTAGAGTAAGAGGATAGTGCGGCAGTGCTCAAGCAACTCCTCGGGCGAAGAGATCTTCTGGAGCGATCGGATCGCACGTTTGGGGAGTTGCTCGTGCGTTCTGGGTTTGGATGTCAAGCCCAACTCCAGAGCCATCGACGCGGCCATGTTGACCCACTGATAGATTTGCAGCTGACCTGGTGTTTTTGATGGTGAGTAGTATGTGACTGTGACGATGAGCGCCTGGATAGCTTGAACCGACTTCTCGCCTTTGATGAAGGCGGAACGTGCGTAGAGAAGGACGGTTTCTTCATGTAGTCTGTCAGACAGGGCAGAACCTTTCGAATGCGCAGCCGCGGCCATAATTGCGTGGAAGAGCGCAGGCTTGTTTGCTCGGAGATCAAACACGTCCCATTGTTTGGGTATCGTGATGCCTGGACATGCAGCGACGAGCTCGGTGCGCCATATGCTCAGGAGCTCGACTGCTAGATCTTCCGAGATGACACCACGATCTATAATGTCGTTATCAGAAGACCCCAGGAAGTCTGTCGGCGCGCCAGTAGACGTAGAGTCGACAGTAGGGGCTTTCATGGTTGATGCTGTGGTCATTGACGCTGCTGTTGCGACACTCGGGCGACTTGATACGCTAGGAGGCGTCTCCTTCTTTCTCACATGGCCTTGATCGTCCGTGTCCTCATCGCCGGATTCCTGTTCGCTAACATCGTTCGATGATTTGGCGTTGGTCTTCAGAAGACTTCGCATCTGCTGTATCTCTTTCTCCAACTCCGTAACTCGTACGTCTGTTCTCTTTCTCTGCCTCCTCTTGGCTGGCGGCGCGAAAACACATGTTCTGTTCACCTTGGCGCATCGCTGGCACTGCGTCGAGCTTGTGTCCGGGTTCATGAGACATCGGACTTTGGAAATGCGGCATGCTTCACAGGCGCGGTTTAATGGTTGGTCTTGAGACTTCCGGGGCTGTTCCGCGTCTGGGCTATTGACGAGTTGGTTGTTCATGGTCCAGAGCGTTTGCGACTTGGTGTCATCTCCAAGGCCCGACATTCTGGTTGACGAAGGCAAATTTGCCGCTTGTAGTAGGATGATATATTTGAATGACTGTCGTCTTGAGATGCGCACGCATAACGTCTTTGATCCAGATTCGACGTTGCTAACTGCGCAATTCCATGTTTGTAATCAATGGAAGATCGACTAGCGCATGCAAGAGCCGGTAGATCTTGTGAGGGTCTGTCGGAGACACGCGCTGGAGCGGAGATTGACGGTCGCTGATTATGTGCGACAACTTCGAATACTCGATGTGCCGAGTTAGTAAGGTGTTTGATGTATGACGAACGTGGATGCCTGGGAAGCCGTTGATCGAAGGTCGCGCGACAGGGTCTGACACGCGAAGCACCAATTAGGCAAACCTGTGGGTCTAGTGGATGACTTGTGGCTAAATATTGAGCCCGCAATGCGCGACACACGATCTCCGCTCTAGCGTCTCGGAGCAATCCCTAGGAAATTTGCTGTCCGTACCTTTGGGCTGTTGTATCAAAAGATTACACTGTATTTACGACTGTCGCACGACAGTCTGCAAGAACCCAAGGCACCTACGACACTGCGACATGACCTGGAAGTACCTATGAATACACTGCATACGCGTTCAGGCACCCCAATACTTGTCGCATGGATCGGAGTATTGGTCAATCAAACGGTGCCTCGTGACGACATCGCATGTGATTGGCAGCAAAGCAATACGACGGAGATGTGCCGGGCGAACATCAAACCAGTCAACACAGCATTAGAGTATTATCTCGAAGGAGCAGTTCATAGCAGCCGGGGTTGAAAGTCCTGCGCTGTGGAGAGGATCGCGCCCCGCGTATTTGGTTAAGGCGCACCACGCCTTGCCCGACGGCAAACCTTCGTAAGCGTAGGGCGCGACTAGCGCCTTGGGTGTATAGTAATTCAGATCACAAAAACTACTGTTGAGCTCTCCTCACTTCTCAAAACGATATAGTTGTTCATACGATTCATTCAACATAATAGTCGCTACAAACATGTCCTTTCTATACACCGACTTCGACAAGACAAAGACGCCACCCAAGCGAATACCACCGCCACCCATCTAGCAAAGCCAGAACCAGAACTTCTCAAGCGCATTGCGCGGGATCTGCTCAGGCCAGACCTCCGCATCAAGCGCCGCCTTGCCGCTCCAGATATCTGCCTCGGCCGGGTTGACCATCTTGGTCCGCTTGAAGATCTTCCAGAAAGCATAGAGGAGACCGAAGATCGCAACGCCGATGTAGGCAGTGAAGAAGCTGGTCAGCTCATCGGGTCCCCAAGGAGTGGTTGTGAAGACCTTGAAGCCATTGAAGAGGATAATGAGGGCGAAGTAAGCGAAGGCAGTCCACGCAACGTATGGCTGCCACTTGCTAGCGAAGACCATGGTGCTGCGGTCGACGTTCTGGGCGATGCATGCCGCACGGAACCGGGTGTATGTGTAGGTGATGGTGCACCAAGTAAAGAGCGACGCGATGGTGGTCAAGTTCTGGAACCATCCGAATACCTTGTTGGCACCAGCGCTGACACTCATGTATGTGAGTAGCGAGATTGAGGCTGTGACTGCAACAGCGTAGACCGGGACACCCTTCTTGTTGCACCTGAGGAGGAACTGTGGGGCTTGGCCGTTCTGTGCGATACTGAAGAGATAGCGCGATCCGGTGTACAGGAAAGCGTTGCCAGATGAGGTTGCGGATGTCAAGATGACAGCGTTGACGATGTGGGGGAGGACGGGAATTCCTGCGTTCTTCATGGCGATGACCCAGGGAGATGACTGAGCACCCTTGGCGTTCTCGTCGGTGAGCTGAGGGTCGTTTGAGCTGATACAGGTACCGATGATGAACGATCCCAGAACGTAGAAGAACAGAATACGCCAGAAGACACGGCGAACAGCTTTGGGGACTAGAGACGTACAAGGTCAGTAATTGTTATATGAAGAGTCAAGACAAGACGTTGCTTACTGTTCCTGCGGGGGTCGGCGGCTTCACCGGCAGCGACTGCAACCATCTCAACACCACCGTACGAGAACGCTGCGTTGACAAGTGTAGACCAGAGACCCGTGAAGCGACCCGTATTCCCAGTGCCCACGTACTCCTTCATCGCACCTTCCTTCCAATAACGGAATCCTCGCCTGTCATGGTCAGGACCTCCACCGAGCATAATGACTAGACCGGCAAGAAGCAGTCCAATGATTGTTATGATCTTGATGGATGCAAAGATGAACTCGGCTTCTCCGTAAATCGAGACGGCGAAGATGTTCAGAAAGACGATGATGACGATGATGATGGAGATCCATATCGCAGGATTGTACCTAACTGGAGTCAGAAAGTGTTGGAAGTCGATTGGACAGTTAAACTTACTTCTCTTCCTGATCCCAGAAGTTGATCAAGAGAGCGGCAGCAGAGATCTCGGCGCAGAGTGTAATGGAGCTGTTGTACCAGTTGTTCCAACCGACGGCAAAACCAAGAGCGGGGTCCGCATAGCGAGCAGCGTACTGCGGGATAGCACCGGGAAGCGGGAGCCATGTGGCCATCTCTCCAAGACACTGCATCATGCCGAAGACGGCGACACCCGTGATGGTATAACCAAGGAGGACAGAGACGGGGCCGGCATTGGCGAAAGCACTGGCAATACCGAGGAACAGACCAGTACCGATGGTACCTCCGAGTGCGATGAACTGGATGTGGCGCGACTTGAGACCTCTCTGGACGTAGCCATAGTCCTCGGCTTTCTGAGCGGAACCATAGACACCAGCAGCCTCATTGAGGGCGTGGTCCTTAATGTCGTGGACATCGCCCACAGCATGGTCAGACGGACTCTCGCCAGCGACATACTGCTGCTTTTCGTAGTCGTTGGCCGACATATCGGGCGACAGGGAGATAAGAACACCAAGAGGTATACTCAGCGAAGTGGAAGACTGAGCCTGAGTCTACCAGGGATAAAGAACCCAGGAGAGCACAAGAAGGGTAGAGGCGCGAGAGAAGATAGCCTTGCAAGCCGGGTGAATGGGGGTACGAAACGGCATTTATACCTACGCGCCTGCGAGGGTTCCCTTCTCAACTTCGCAGCACCCTCGTCCCAGCACCCGGGAACCGCTCGCAAAAGCAGAGCATGGGCTGGACCCCAGCGGCGACTGTCATTCTGCAGACTAGTCGCGGCGCAGCTCCGGTGTGGTCTGGAAAGCCTACTGGTCAATGGTGTGATTGGGAGCGAATGATACGATTAAGATGCAGACGGTGTCGCCGTTCGGTATGGGCTATGCCGCCTTGAATCGCCTTAACCTCGCCCGGGGCTGATAAGGATGGGATCGCTGTACTGGGGTAGACGTTGGAGTGACAAGCTTCGATACAAGCCTTGTCTACTCAAAGAGGGGTACAGCTTATGCACGGCATGCATGCCTGCTTGCGTCGCAAATTGTCGTACAACAACCAGCCTTTTCTCGTTGCTGTTCACACGTCGCAGATACCGTTCGTACAGAGTATTGTCAAGCAAACCTCTCGATACACCGAGGCGCCTTCGACCAGCACGCGACCGCAGGATGGGGCGCCGGGCGTTCCAACTCGCTTAAGGTGCGATTTGGCATTGAGACAAGCCTCAATGGCGCTGAAGCAAGCAGCTATCGGGCGCCCTAGTACACGCTAAGCATTCTCGGCAGGTGGATCCAAGCTACAACCCATCACAACAGTTTCCACTATCGTGGGCTTACTAGGGGTGCTGCATCGAGAGTCGTGCGGATTGTACGCCTTTCTAGAACACATTCTAGCGCGCGGACCTATTGCGGTGGTATCGCTGTCACTACGCGTTCGCGCAGTCCGTCTCGTCTTCGGTGGGATGAGAAGTGCGAGATGGCTCTGGACCACGACTTTCGCGATGGGCTTCCGCGAATGGCGGGAACAAGACGTGCGTTCTGTGCGAGAACGCCCCCGCCCCTCCCGCACTGATGCAGTCACTGCACAGACAATTTGCGCAATCTACTCGGCCAGATGTGTCGCCAGACTGCGTGCAAGGGTTTGATTGGAGTCGTCAGCCTGCAGATAACCGTGGCAATTCGTATACTGGTTCCGACTGATGGCACAAGACTCTCGTTCCTCCAATGACATGCACCGATTTGGAAGCACGAAGACCGGAGTGCTCTGAGCTGACTCGAGCGTCATCCCATGCGGTCTTTTGGGTGTCTTTTGGGCAGGTGGGTGTACTCGAGGCGTGATACTTGCACATGTGACCATCCCGAGAGCCTAAGAGTTGTGTCCTCACAAGGCTTTGTGCACCGACAAGGCTGACAGCGGATCACAACGTCCAATGGATATGTTTTCTGGAATGTTTCAGGCGCGTAGACGCGGTCAGCATGCGCCCAGTTAAAGCCACCGGAACCTGGCTTATGCTTGAAGACTTGACTAGTTAAATTGAGGAGCCGCTGCCACCTCACACAAAGAAAAGCCGAACAGGTCTGCAGCTTACATCAGCCTGGAAGCATGAAAAGTAGTGAGCCCAACTTCAACGTAGGCCCCGGGATTCTAGTTTTTCTCCTTGAATGAAGTATTACATTCATTGCACTAGCGCAAGAGAGAAGAATTCGAGCTTGACAAAGCTTAGAGAAAGCTCTTTTGTATTTGGCACCGTGGATCAAAAGTACGAGTCTGCAATTCGTTGCCCGTTTGGAGGGTTCAAATGACTGTTACAAGTATCAGATCGTGAGAGTACAATTCCATGATATTTATACACACAGTATCAAAACCCGTCGACAGGATATCCATTCATCCATCCTCCTGATTATATCCTTGTGCCGGATACACAGTCGCAGAAATCCCCGTGGCCTGTCTGCACGCGTAGCAGATGAAGGTATGCCGTTATCGGAGTAGTTCGTTCTTTTCGATCTGTCGGATGTTCGTCGCGTTGTACTTGATAGTCTTCGAAATGCGTTCGTGTATAGCAGATCCACCGTGATGTCGCAGCTAGCCACCACCCAGGCGCGTTAGCCAGGTCCGATCTTGGGCATGTCGTGGTGCTCGCTCAGTCCGCTCAGGTACTTGTTGAGTTCCTCCACCTTCTCCTTATGTGTCTTGACTCCCTCCTTCTTCAGTCTCTCCTCCATTCTCTTCCTTCGCATCTCGTCGTGCCGTCTTTCCGCTTCTGTCTTCTGCCTGCCGCCGCCCTCTCGTATCGATCGCTCTGCAGTTTCGGGTGACATTGAGCGGCCTGGTGTGCCTGAAGGTGACTTGCGCGCGTCATCGTCGGTCGGCGACCGTTTCGCGACGCTGGTGGACGTATCTTCGGCGGGTTTCGTGGATTCGGTAGTCTTTGGCTTCTTCTTTTTCTTCTTTTTGTCGACGCCGCCGCCACCTTTGAGTTTCAGCGCGCCGCCTGTGGCCGCCGTGTAGTCCGAGGACGGCATGTTGATGTTGCGCCGGTGTATGGAGAGCGGGCAGCTTTGGATGGCTGAGCGCGAGATCGAATAACGGGTCCGCACGTGATACCGTTAAAGTGGGGCGGGCGCATCGTCAACATCGACAAACTTCCTTCCACGTCAACCTAGGAAAGAGCTGAACACCCTGGAGGCTACATCGACGTCAGGTCACCCACTTTACATGTCTTCATCTTGGAGTAGTCTCTAGACCTACTTCCCTGCCTTCCAACATCTCGACGCGCCATGGAAGATACCGTGCTCCAGCTCAGCCCTCTATTGGGGCTCCCTTGCGAATTGCGCTTGCGTATCTACGACGAACTTGTCCCTATCATCCCTTTAAAATCCAATAGTCCACCAACCCAATTTACCGGTCTTCTCTGCAGCTGCAAGACAATACAACATGAGCTCGAACCAGAGATTTGCAAACGCATGGCCACTGCCATCTCTGAAGTAGCCGATGTTGTACGCCAAAGCACTGGACTGGAGATGGTGTACACTCCACCTGACTCTTTCTGTGGTTGGCGCAACCTAACTATTTGCTATCGTACGCATACGTGTTTGTTTGATTCCAACGACCCATCCCTCGTATTCAGGGAATTCTGGTTCGATACTCTCACTATCCACTTACATGACAAATCCGATACGTACCAATTCTTTCAAACACATCCATATATTCACGCGACAAGGAAATTAGCCAATAAGATGGCAAGCTATGCCGGAACGACTGGCTCAATACCGAGACCCAAAAGATGGGTTCTCCTCTTCGGTGAACGAACCGAACAATTTCGGTTGCACGGCATGGACAGCAACAAGATCTGTTGCGACGAAAAGTTCCGCTGGGTATGGAGACATATATCGAGTGTACGCGGGTGGGGCGTAGTCTTCTGTAAGATCCCGCTTTCCACCCGACCACGTATTAGGGATCCCACAGAAAAGGACAAGAGAGATATGTTCAGGGATGTTCAAGGAAGATGGATATCTGAAATGGCATGCGAGATAGAGGAAGAGAACCACAGACGTTATATGGCGAATATGCAAAGAGAAATTGCTAGTACGGCACGCGGCCGTCGGATATTGAAGGACGTTGATTCAATCATGGCTGGAAAAAGGCAACCTTCTGTGTAGAGAAGAGGTGAGTATGGTTTGTCGACACAGCACTGACATATGACAAGAATCTGATGAAGAAGTGAGGACTTTATAGATGGCAAGTATGCACAGCGTCCTGGTCTTTCAACGTGGTCCATTGAGCGTATCTTCAGAAATCGCCGCCACGTCCATGTTCCACCAAGGCGCGTCCTTGAACCCATTGTATTTGCTTCAACGCGTTTAGAGTAATTACAGTTCCGATATGCAGTAATGCACGATTCTACCAGTCCCTCTACCCTGTCTATTTTATCTCCTTATACCCTATCTTGAAAATTCCCCTATCATACCCATGTCCTTAATTCAAAAATCGCAAGACTGTGCCAACAACTCCGCCAACTCCTCCAAAGCCGCCTGATCCTCCGCGTTAAATCCATTCAGTTCCGCACAATCTATGTCAATAATCGCTACAACCTGTGCACGTGTTAGCAACTCTTTCATGCCCATTTTTGACTCAGCTGCTCGCCTATCCCTCATCATTCAATCCCTCATTGGAGCAAGGAACAAAAGAAAAAGAACATACCTTCCCACCCTGCACAACCGGAACAACAATCTCACTCCTACTCCTCCCGTCACAAGCAATATGTCCCGGAAAAGTCTCTACATCTGCCACTAGCTGCGTCTTTGCTTCTTTCGCCGCAGTCCCGCATACACCGCGCCCGAAGTTGATGGTTTGACATGCTACCTGGCCTTGGAAGGGGCCGAGCAGGAGTTGCGACGCATTTATTGGGGAAGTGAAGTAGAAACCTGCCCAGTTGACGGAGGAGGAGGGGGAGGGCAGCGATTGGTACGCGTGCCAGAGGAGGGATGCTGTGTTGGAGAAGTTGCTGTTTGGTGAAAGTCTTGGTTAGGAAGGGACATTTGTCGCTTGGAAAGGGTAGGAGCTCACCAGACCTACACAATGTTAGCAATCCTATTCATCTTCCTCATCCGTGAAATTTTTTTGAGAGTTAACTTACCCAATTCCTCTGCCCATCAAAAAGCGACCTCGCCTGCTCAAGCACTTGCTCATAAACCTCCTTCTTACTCATTCCATCGGCAAAATCGGACGCGTCGGCGTGCACCTACACCAGCAGCCAGCCCTGTCAGCCACGTATTCGAGAGACATCTTAGTCCAGACTAAGCGAAAACCCTTGGCTGCATACCATGGTCGTTGATATCCAGTCACTTCTTGGGGTCGCGATTCTTTCCTGGCTGCTATTTCCAAAGTTCTTGTGTGCACAGAACGGAAGTCGCCGAAGCTTGCCGGGCAGCAGCAATAATTATCCACAACAAATTACTTTAAAAATTCAACTGCACGGCGGTAACTATTTGTA